TAAGTCCGTTTACGAACGTGCCCTGGTTCAGAAGGAGCAGTTGTTCGCCGACAACTTGGAGGCGGCCCGGTGCGTTTTTCTCGCGCCACACCGCATTCCCCTTAAGGACTTCACGACTTGTCGTAAGAAGCCCGAGACCCGGGGTGGTCTCTATCCTCTTTGGGGATACCCCTGGGTTATGCCCGAGAGCTGTCCAACCTTGAGTTCTTGTGAGGACATGTTCTGGGCATGGGTGGGGACGCTTAAGTACTCACCCACGGAGTTACGGGAACTCCTTGAAGATCAGCTGCTGTCCCGTATCCTGGACCAGCGTGACCTTCGTGTTCGGTTTGCCCACTTGGACAGCAAGCGCATGATCTCAAGGAACATTCTGAAGCGCGCGGTTTCAAGCGCTCACGATGAGCGCGGGTACGGAGTGTATTCATCGTCCGTACCCCGTTCGGGCAAGAAGCCCCGGGCTAATTATGAAGCTGCCGCTGCTTCTGTTCCCAGATTGCGACAGCCTTCGGGTAGTTTATCCGGGGCTGTTCAATCGACTCCCACGAGTTCTCGAAGTGGGCATAACCCCTCCACTTCATGAGGAGCTGTCGCTTACCGCGACGCCGTTGCTCCTGGAGGATCCGCTCCACATGGAAGTGGACCTCTCCATTCCGGTCAAGCAGGGGCGGAGGTGCCCTCGTACGAGTACGAGTACTCGGCGCCTCCCGAAAGCCACTCTCGTCCGAGTGCTTTTCCGGCGGGTCCGACGCAGGTCCCTGAGGTTGACCGCCTCCGTAAAACGCGTCCTCGTGCTTGAGATTGCACTTGGCCTTGGGACTGGCGGTGATGCTGCCGCCCAGACCGGGAATCAGGGCGTACACCCTCGTCTTGAGGGCCACCTGGACCAGTTGGAGCGGGAGGTCTCAAGCCTACATCTGCGGGTGGACCGCCGGGCCCCTTCGTCCGATCTTGACGAGGCCTTCCGCATGATCCGACGTATCGAGGCTCTGCTGCCACGTCCGCAGCCGCATTCGGCACACTCCCAGCCATACGCGTATGGTGCGTACCCGATGTACTCGACGTACTCGGCGTATGGCTCTGGGGTCCATTCGTACGGGGCCACTCCGGCGTACGGTATCGACCGCAACCGTGTGAGGATCCTATGAAGGAAAGACGGTAGAGGTCATCTGGAGGTGGATCTGGTATCAATGACAAACGAGAAGACAAGATCCACTGCTATAAGCCTCAGATCCCACTTTGCTAAGTCCAGATCTAAGGGATTGAGGATCCCACACCGAGTGAACTGGATCCAGGATATGGGGATGGTGGATGCTGCGGATCTCGAACTTTCGGGAAGTGATGGAGACTGCAGACAGTCGTAAGCCGATGCTGGAAGATTGGAGGGCTCAGATCCATGATGAGTTTACACTTGCAGTGAGGTGGATTTAGGTGACGTGGATCCAGAATAGTTTACCCATAATATAGCGACCTCATTATGATTACGCCATGGATTTGGTGGATCTGATGCTAATACAGCTGAGGAGATGGACCACGGAGAAATAGGACATGCAGCCGAGCCTGGTAGGAGATTTAACAGGTAGAAGATATAGAAGGTAGGGATCCAGGCAGGTGTAGGCTTAACTATGAACCAGACTTCAGTTTAACGCAAGTGCCTTGCTGCCCTCAAGAATCGGAGCTACATCGGCCGTACGAGCTCAATGAAGGTTATGAATTGCCTATCTAGTGCTGCTAGCGATAACTGGATAATACGTTGTTCACATCCTACAACCTAGTGAGCATTCCTTTACACGTGCAGATCCGAAAGGCTAACCGGATTTACTACTTGGCCGGGTATACCCTAGCGTCTCTCAACTCTCAAGATCCCGCTACAGGAGGCGGCAAGTACGACGCAAAGGAGAACAAAGGCAAGGGAACACACCCACAAGGCAACCCTACGGCCAGATCCCAGATCTAGGACCTGGACCCACCAAGCTCGAATATTCGCTTGGGATCCAGAAACAACTACGGACGCAGAGTGAAGACCTTACCGATACTGTTCCACCCCATCCCTACGACTCGCTAAGACACTCAATCTTCACCACTTGATCTCTTCGGAAGTTACCGAGAGAGCAAGATCCCGCCCTACCGACGGGTACACAAGGTGAGGAAAATTCAGCAGAACACGGATCATCGGGGGACCCCCTCCGTTAGTCGGTGTCTGGGCGCAGTTGGTAAGTTGGATCTGGCAATCTCGCAGATTTTGCTAATCCCGCTACACCACAGCGTCACCGTACATCATGTGACTGTGGGTTCGTCGCTTGAACATCTTCGACGATGCCGCATCTTTGTTGACTAGCGATTATCCGCAACTCTGGAGAGATCACTACACCACAGTAAACTAGGGATCTGGTCTGTTACGGAGGAGTACACGGCTAAACGGCGAAGCAACAATAGAGCCAAAAGAACGGTTCGCACTCGTAACATAGAGACAGTGGATCGGATTGTGTACAAGGACTACCCACTGAGCAAACTATTCCCAGCAAAAAAGAACAATGGCCACGAAAGGATCGCCACCAATGTCCAGCAAGACAATGCGAAGCCGTACGTACCGCCGTCGGACCCCGATGTTGTCGAAGCGGGCATAGAGGGAGGGTGGAACATCAGACTGTGGTGTCAGGCACCCAATTTACCGGACCTAAACTGTCTCGGTCTGGGCGTCTTCGCCTCGATGTAGAACATTCAGTACCGCCTGCGAAGAAAGGGCATTGTGGCGCTCATAGCGTCGGTTGAGGAGAGATATGGAAGCTGACACAGTTGACAACATTTTTCTGCCTCTCCAAGCGTGCATGCTGACCATCCTGCAGGAGGAGGGAGGGAACCTGTACAAGCTACCACATTTGGGAAAATCCAAGCTCCGAAGGGCGAACAAGTTGTCTCTTAGTTTGCCTGCAGCAGACACATATACGAAGCTGCGCAAGCACTTCTTAAGCCGGCAAACCGTGATAGTGCCTTGCTGTCCAACTAATACCCTCTACATTCAATATGATGTGTAATTTAATAATTTGGTAAGGATTGAATTTGGCAGTCCAAAAAAACTTTATACTTGTCAAACTAACTCCCGGTGATCATATCCAACCAGAAGACTAATAATAAGTTGATATGTAATATTATCATTTTGTCGCTGAAGAAAAATTAGGAGATTTTTGTTATTAACAGGTTTACCAGGTGATATTATCACTAAATTACCTTCACCGATTTTGGAGTTACCATAAACACCTGCCTGTCGGAAAGGTTTTTGGCGATTACTATTATGTATGTAACGGGGTACAATCCAGGGTGCCCCAGGTTACATAAAGAGTGACCCGTCACTCTTGTGGACACCTGGCACACGGTACCAGGTGCTCTCGGAGCCAGTCAGAACATGACTACTTAGCTCCACTATAGGTAACCTCTAGTTTGTATAGAACCCAAGCTAACCTTACTTATAAACTAGCCGAGCGCCGCCGCTACGCGGCGGTAGTTTAGGTTTTATTTAAGTCGTTTGCCTTCCCGCCTTCGCTTCGGGTGGAAAATTATTCGAAAAACTATGAACCTCTATGTGCCTAAATCGACTTCTTTAATTTCATAAATCTGGGTTTAATTTAGATCATTCGCTACAAAATGCTAAGTTCCCAGTAAGCCGTGCAATTATTCCTACAAAAACCTGAGCCCCTAGCATCATACTTACCATGTAAGTATGATGATAGTACACTGTGCTTGTACATGCGTCGTGCACGATGCGAGCACTGGCCATGATTCAGCTCAGGCGACAGCACAGCAGAAGCTGTTGCCGCCAAGCATGAAAACCTTGTGGCGGGCGTACCGCACCAAAGGCTAGTACCGTACGGTACATGGTGTCGATGGGAGACACCTACACCACGGCTGTGTACCGTCACGCTACACGGGGTCGATGAAGGACACCTACGCGCCGTTGGTATGACGGCCAAAGGCGTCGCCCGAGGTGATCGGGGAGCTCCCTCTAGTGCTGGGGCAGGTGTTGCCCTTCTCGGTGTCGTCCCTCGCGGGAGACATCATGCTCCGGACGCGTTCGCGAAGACTGTCGTGTTCTCTGGTGCGAACTGTGGGCGAATGCCACACGCTCGGATGCTATTGCTCCATGTGCCAAAGCACTGTACGCGCGCTAGCGCAGGAGCTGATGCAGCTCTGAGTGTAGGCTTTGCGACCAACACATTTGTGAGCATAGGGATGCAAATCCCAGTGAGCTTTGGGAGAACAAGTCACTGTGGGTGTGACTGAGAGCCGCGCCAGTCTCGCGGCTGCTCAGTGTGAGAATTCATCTTTTAGGGTTTTAATTCTCTCACTTCTGATTGGAGAATCAGTTGTGATTAGAGAATCTGGTGATTCTCATTTAAGTGGGGGGGGGGGAAATGTACCAGGTGCTCTCGGAGCCAGTCAGAGCACGACTACTTCACTCCACTTTAGGTAACCTCTAGTTTGTATGGAACCCAAGCTAACCTTTCTTATAAATACATCAGTCTTAAATCTACTCATCTAAGTAGCAAACCGTTCCCTTTGAGGCCGGACTAACGCTCACTCGGGTAGTTAATACCCTTAAGCACTTCCTCTGTGCAAGGTGCTGTGTGACCCCGTCACAATGTAGAATCGACATGAATAAAGCGTGGAATCGACATGAATAAAAGCCATGTTATGTGCAAATAATCCACAACCCACAAAAACATGGGGCTTCGAAAGGTCTGAACTTCTCTACAACGAACTTATAAACCTAGCCCTCGCAAAGAAGACAAAAACGATTATTTTGTACTGCTGACCTATGCAGTTATTTTTTGATATAATTCTATTAGTGCATTAAAACGTTTTTGTTGCTGGTAGGAAATACTAATCTATAAATTGCATTTCCGTGCAGTCAAGAGAAAAAAAAGTTTCAGCTTAGAAATATGGCCGAAGCCTGCTTACGGTATCTGCCTGCTGCACGACTAGTGACTTGCAGACGACCTCGCTCCTTAATGGCGCGTGTTTGCCGCCTGCTGGAACGCGTACTGACCCGCCTTGGCTGCAAGTTCCGGGTTCTTGTTCATGAAGTTAGCGGCCTCTTGGCTGCTTGTCGTGTAGCCGGCCGTGGGGTCTGCGTCGGCACTGAGCGTTGACTTGAACTGCGGGTGGCGGCACATGACGAGCAGATTGATGAAGGCGTTAAAGCACATGAGGACGCCAGCGATTGTCGCGAGTGCTGAGCCGATACCGAAATCCAGAAAGCCGATGAAGAAGATGAAGGCAGCACGTCCCTTGTAACTGTAGAGGAAGCCAAAGTTGGAGCGGATAGCCGTCTCCATGCGCGAGAGGCGACACTCGAAGAGTAAGAACAAAATGCCAAACATGATGACATAGATGGACACGAGCGTGCCCGTGATGTTGAGTGTGATGAAGGACGTGATGCCCACAACTCCGGCGATGATCTGAAGGATGGAGCAGCCCACGTTGCCCAAGCGCATGTAGCGCAAAAGCTTCGGCAGTTCCATCTTGTTCACGTCGTTCACCTTCTGGATAAAGTTGCGCTTGGGCGGCGCGGCGGGGGCCATGTCTCCGCCCACACTGTCGGTGTTGATAGTCACGCTCGTCGTGTTCATCATCTTGTCTCGGGGCTAGAGAGAGGGAGAGAGAGAGAGATGAATCGCAGACTGATGGTTAGCGAGGTCGGCGTCCTGTTTTCGACTGGGATCCGAGGTCTGGTATTACCACGCCGTGAGCGAGATGCTAAAGATAGCGACGACCGGAGACAGGAATGGAATGCACGCAGAGGTAATTTTAGCGAGAAATATGTGGACCACATTGAACTACCAAGGGCGGACTGGCTTCCACAAAACAAACAGTTCAACTTGTAAAGCAGAAAAATCACACCTCGACTTCGCTTGTCTGGATAAGTTACATGTATCCGACGTGAACTACATTTACTGTAAATAATTTTCAGAACAATGTCCTGTTGTTTTGCATGACGAGTTTTTCTCTCGCGCCGTCGCGACGGTTGACGGCAATGCAATCTTTTCACGTGTGCATCAAGAGTGCCCGCAGAAGATAACTTGAGCCGCACATCCAGGAAGCTCTATACTCCTATGGCAAGATGTGCTCCATGGGCAATAAACATTGCGAGACGTTGGTGTCTCTAGAATACTACCGGAACATGTGTAGCGGTTCACAGTACCACTCTGTTCCATCTCAAATCTAACACTTCTCCTTTGCTGACATATTTATTAAACTAATGGTGTGATTTAGCTAAACGAGCCCACTACGGAAAGCCCTGCCTTAGCTCTATAAAGCAGTATTTTTGTTGGTAGATCATAGTCAAACAGCAACGAAGTACAGAGCGAAAAAGCGTCATTCGTTTTGACGGGGTGGACGTCTGGTTTCGCAGTGGGCTTCCCAGTGTTGGAAAATTGCTGAGGTTTTCAGAAGAGATCGATTTTGCTACGGTCTTACAAGATGTGAAAATAGTTTTTCAAAAACTGCTGTCTGTGCCGCGTTTGCCTGAAAATCTGACAAATTTTAGATCTCGCAAAAGGTGAAAATAAATAAAACAAGGTGTGTAGAAAAGAGTTCATCATAAAATAAAAGATACTAATTTTGAGTTGGTGGCCCTTCATTTTTTTAAGTGTCTCCTGGCCCTTTTTGCCAAAGGGTCGCAAGACAATGAGGTTCAAAGCACTCCGTTGCGAATGTGGTGCTTCGAGACTCGGGGGAGTTTGTATGTATCACACGCAATGACAGATTCTGGTATTTTTTGTGCTGTCAAAAAGCACTTATCTATAGTCCTATTAGAAAGATCAAAGTAATTTTTTTCAGCTTCCGCAATTAAAGCATCGATCTTGTACGTTGGTGTGCGGTATTGAGCCGACTGTAGCAAGTTAAACAGACCCAATTCGAGTACGTTCATATCGGGCGACTTAGCTGGCTGGTATTTGATGACATGCCTGCCGTTATTATGGAGCGATCAGACGGCACAGCTGACACAAAAAGTAGCAAATCTCTATTCTTAGCATAATAATAGCCAATGATATCATTTATTTTTGTGCGGTCGCTCGTTGCGTTAGATTTGAGATGGAACAGAGTAGTAGTAACACTTCTACTAGAAGTTCTAGGTTATCCGCTGGAGCTCAACTCCACTCATACAGTGTATTATTTTAGTGTTCATCATGAACACTGCGAGGGGAGTTGATGAACTTCACATCCGGCTTTCACAGCATGCACTGTGTCTTGAGCTCCATGGTTCTTATGCCGGGGCTCGGATTGGTAGTTAACATCGGTTTTCCCATCGCGATGATCAACGAGGCCCTCCATGTGGTTTCACGGACATGTATGGTCTGCATTATTATGGATAGCCGCCTGCACGAGAAGCGCAGGTTTGGTCGGACATTTCGCAAAGAAGCCTGCAGCAATTTACTCGCTGCTCTTCTCTAAGTCAGCGACAGGTTCTAGATAGCCCAGGACGGCGTGTGGTGTGACCAACAGGCCCCGACAGCGAACCGATATTTATCTCATAGCCCGGCGGATTCTCGTGATTTAACACAGCGTGCCTCACTATGGCGAATATCACCGACTCCACGTGCGACTTCGGCCTCGCCCAAACTGATGACGGATGCGTACGAACGCTCGCTTCTTTCGACCCGAGCTCGTACCACACGGTGCAGGCCGTATACTTAGGTCTCGGTGGCATTAGCGTCGCAGCAAGTATCATTCTCTACGTCCGATCGGTGAAACACGAAGGCGCTCTTCTTCAGCAATACAGCTTCCTGTTCTGCTGTTACGGCGCTGTGACTATGGTCATTCGTGGTGCTGACCCTCTCAGCTACGGATATGTCATTCCGCGTCCGATCAGTGCATTTCTCGCCGATACGTGTACTGCCGCTCTCTACTCTGTATAGTACGTATTTCTTCCAGCCGCGACGCTCTTTAGACCTGGTTAACTAACTGGTGCTCTTTCTTGCTTAGCATCATGGCTTTGGGTTATTGGGCCACCATCATCCAGCGCGGCGCTGCAGTTACCGACAAACCTCCGCATTTGGTCTGTCTAGAGAGCATTGCTATCGCCGTGGTCTGGACATTTCAGGTCTTGTACGACATGTGTCTCTTCCTGTCCAAAGGCTTCAACCCGCAGGGCCTGGTCTACATGCAGCTCACCGTAAGCGCCTGCATGCTCGGTATCATCAGCACGGTCTTCCTCATTTATGGTCTGCGCGTACTCAGCCGCTTGCAGCAATATGAGCGACAACTGAAGCTTCGTATGCCGAGCATGCAGTCGGACCGCATGATGTCAAACCGGTCGTTCGACCTCAACATGAGCGACGACGAGGACGGCACACCCGTCATGCGGGATCGCAAGGCGCGCCCCCGTCCACAGGAGGGACACGCCACGAAGATCAAGAAGATCCTGTTCGTGGTGGAATCGTGCTCGCTCATCGTCGTGGCCGCGCAGATGTACATGGCCATCGACCGCACGAGCGACACCCCGGTGGAGCTGTCCTGTGCAAACGGCCATCTGTGCGACACTGTCAAGTGCTCGGTGAATCTTCTTCACGTCTTTCAGGTACCACACCATGCTCTTCTCCGCTCCAACTACGCTGAACCCCAGTCTAACCGTTTGTTGTGCCAATGCAGATCATGTGCATCTGGGTCATCCTATGGACATTCCGCAAGATCCAGAAGAAAGCAGTTGTCCCAAGGCCGCACACTGTCGCGTAAGTCGAAGAGTGTGGTCTCCACGTGTGCGTCTGCTGCCCCACCTAGCACATTGTTACTAGTAGTAAGAACAGCTGATTAAGTTGACTCAAATCGGTGTCACGAATGTATCTGTAGTGTATGCACTATCAAATGAAGCGTCAAGTGTGCTGTGTAAGTCTCATGTCGAAGCGAACTGAGCCCCAAGAGCGGCAAGAGTAGAAGGGTCAATACCAACACCGAAATGGCATAAAAATCATCGATATGTATAATTCCATCCATTATTGTACACTCTTGTTGCATTTGCTTCTTTTGCTACCTGCAGGTCTTGCTGAAGCTATGGTAATTGTAAATTGGCGGTTGCTGCAAGGCCTATGAATTTGACTTTCGTGGCTCTACCCTGATAACTGCAAGTCTTCCCGTTGCTGTGGTGCTCGTGGTTCTTGTGGACCTTGTGCCAGAGTCCGCGATTCCCGCCAAGACTGAAGGAAGCAAGTCTACAGCGTCCGCACGTCTTGTCGCGGCTCCACTACTTCTGGGCCTTGTTCTGGCTCCACTGTTTGATACTCTGCGTAGGCTCCGATATTTGACGCTCCGCGCTGGCTCCGCTGCTTGTTGGTCTTCGCGCGTCAGCTGCTGGTGCTCGTACAGTAGTGCTGCTTGTGGCTTGATGCGGGGCCCTCCGAATAAAAGATTGTATTTAAAATAAACGGAAATACTAATACGTATTAATTTATTTTTTGCTAAACCCAAAAAAGCGAAATAACTTACGATTATGGTTTTAAGAACGCGCCTGTTGGAGGCCATGATTATTTACATGAATTAGTGCAGGATTCCAATCATGGGTCAGTCCATGATTGAAAGTAAAATAAAATCCCCGATTCGCCTATTTCCGAAATGAATAACTTCGGATTTTTCTCATTCGCGTTTCTACCGCTTCCCGATAAGATGACGCGTAACGTCGGCGGAAGCGATATAAGCGCCCGGAGCGCGCGTGGAGGCAACAGGGGTCTCTCTCCGCGACTTCGAGGTCCTGGGCTAAGTGATACGCAAGAAGCTGGAGTGTCTGAAGCTGCGGAAGCGGCTAGTAACGAAGAAGACAATTCGATGGAAACCGGTGGCGGTCCCGCCATCCCTGGAAACGACCGTGGAAGTGACTATCCCGACGTGGAGGATGTAAAATCAGGGCGTGCTTCAGAATCGGATGATGAGGGATTTGCAGCTGAATTGGCTCTTGTACCTGTTGAAGCGCCGGTGAATTGGCACACAAGCTGGGAGGCATGGCATACCTACTTTGCCGATTACTGCCAGAGAATGATGCAAGTGTTACCAGTGAAGGAGACAATGTCAAGAGCAGAGAGGAACAAGCGCCTAAGGAAGACAAGGAAGGGAGGAGACGATTCGCAGTTGGTACCAGAGCAATTTGACCCCTACCAACGAACATATACCTGCACTCACGGCTGGAAGAAGCGGAAATCACGCAGTCCACGAAGAAGAACAAGTGGAGCCAACGCAGAAGCAAGAAGTTGCACAAACGCGGGTCTAAATGTTGCTTTGGCTAGATGGTTGCCTTTCAAGACCTGCAAAAACCCAAATACATGTCATTTCAGCTTTGACCCTACACCATAAAGAGCGATCTCAGTAAACTGAACCACAGGAATGGAGAGCTTGAGCCTGTCATGCACGTAACTCAATGCGATCGACGAGATAATAGCCTTTAAGATATCTTTCCAGGATTTTATTCATGGAAATTCCAGGATTAATCCTGTAAAAAGCTACTAACATTACTGTACGTATTTTCAAAACATGATTTAATCCTGAAACTTACATGATTAATCCTGGAAGAAGGACAGCCACACGTTAGGTATCTTACTCGTCCTCAACGAATCTTCCCGTATCTTCCCCATATGGCTACTGAAATAAGATATGATTTGACGTCCAGGATTAATCCTGACCGTAATCGTGTACAGTTCCATGTAAATAATCCTGGCCTCCAACACCTGCCTTTTAAAAATATACATGTATATATAAATATATGGTAAAACGTGCTTTGTAAAAATGATTGCTTACCGTAATTGCTTTTTTACAGTAGTTGGTACACTGTGCTTCTCTCAACCAATGAATTCTTCTCCTACAAAAGTTGCTCGTTCGCCAAACGTGTCCTCATTTTCGAATCCAGATGACAACCAACAACCCCTTCAGCTACTTCTACAAGCCCGTCTTAGACGCTCAGGATGAGCCGATAGAGCTCTTTCGCTGTCGCTGTAATGTTGTGCGGAAGCAAGCATCCAAGACTGTGACGGGGTCACACAGCACCTTGCGCTAGAGGAAGTTATCTTCCGAGAGTATACAAACTCTCCGTGAACGGTAGTTCACAGGTCCCCTCTTTAATTAAAGAGAGCGAAGTGACCTAAATAAGGTAGATTGTAAACTGAGTATATTTATAGGTAGTTAAGTTTGGGTTTAATACAAACTATAAGTTACCTATAGAAATGCAATGTCGTTTGACTAATGGTTGGCTTTGAACGACCTTGGTACCCTGTACCAAATATCCCGGAGTATGACGTGTCATACACCTGAAGTGAGAAGTGTCACACTTCATGTAACCAGGGTACACTTAGGGCTACGTACCCCGTTACAGCCTCCCCCACTTAGGTTCGGTTTACCGACCAATCAGAATAAAGAGGTGTTCGTCACAAACTCTCATTCTCAAAGTGGTAAACCATCGACTTTGCCGCGCGAGCACGGCGGAGGCTCACTTCACAGCTAGAGCCTTGAGCAGCAACCTGTGCGCTCTTCGTCTAGGTCTCCAATTCGACCGTTACCATGCCTCGTGGCACTGCAAAGAGCGGTGCTAAGACACGCTCCAAGGCTGCTGCCGGTAAGGCGCAAGCCAAGAGCACTAAGCCTCACGGCAAAGGCTCTGCACTCAAGGAGGCTACTCAGGTGGCCTTCGAGGCGATCGGTTCCTCGGGTGACGCGGCTGTGGACAAGCGCGCAAGCAAGCGCCGCAGCCCGTCGCCCTCATCTTCGGACAATCGTCCGATCCCTCGGTTCGTGGAACGTGAGTTCAACTCGGGCAGTGAGGACGATGCCGAGTCCGAGAGCACGCACGATGCATCTGCGGGCTCTGTGGGAGGGTACAGCCCAGTGCCCAGTGAGCACAAAGATGACAGCGTGCAGTCGCTCGCTAGTGATCAAGGTGATCACAGTCCCAGAAAGTCTGTGCGCTCCGAGAGTCCGGCCGCCAAGGCTAAGGGCGCTCCCAAAGCCGGTGGCGATGAGGAAGAGACTCCTCGCAAACGTCTCCCGCTTGCCGAGGGTCTTGCGCGTGCTAAGGCCTCTAAAGCCGAAGGCGCCAAGCCCTCAAAGAAGCGTACAGCCTCTAAGTCTCCACTCCGCGAGGAGAAGGAGACTCGACGCTCCTATCAGAGTATCTTCGACTCCTCGGATGAAGAGGAGGAGAAGGAGGAAGAAGCGGAGGAGAAGGAGGAAGAAGAGGAGGAGAAGGAGGAAGAAGAGGAGGAGGAGGGTTCTATCGTTGAACCCCGGGAGGTCTCGAATGACCTCGACCAGCAGCAGGAGGATTTCCAAGCTGCTTAGCGTGTGCGCGGGGGTTCGGTGGCGGCACCCGTCAGCCAGGGAGCTGCCATCAACTCAAGAGGGTACTGGCCCCCCGAGGATAGCTCCGAGGCTGACCTCTTCTTAAAGGTCCTCGTCGCCCCTCGTGGCCTTGTGGGCGGCCACACTTCTAGGGGCATCTATGAACGAGCCCTTGTTCAGAAAGAACAGTTGTTCGTTGACAACTTGGAGGCTGCTCGGTGTGTGATTCTCGCGCCACACCGCATTCCCCTTAAGGACTTCACGACTTGTCGTAAGAAGCCCGAGACCCGGGGTGGTCTCTATCATCTTTGGGGATACCCCTGGGTTATGCTCGAGAACTGTCCCTCGTGGAGTTCTTGTGAGGACATGTCCTGGGCATGGGTGGGGACTCTTAAGTACTCACCCACGGAGTTACGGGAACTCCATGAAAATCAGCTGCTGTCCCGTATCCTGGACCAGCGTGATCTTCGTGTGAGGTTTGCCCACTTGATCAGCAAGCGTATGCTGCCAAGGGACATCCTGAAGCGCGCGGCTTCTAGCGCTCACGATGAGCGCGGGTACGGTATGTATTCATCATCCGTACCCCGTTCGGGCAAGAAGCCCCGGACTACTTATGAAGCTGCCGCCGCTTCTGTTCCCAGATTGCGACAGCCTACGGGCAGTCAATCAGGAGCCGTTCAATCGGCTCCCACGAGTTCTCAGAGTGGGCATAACCCCTCCACTTCACGAGGAGCTGTCGCTTACCGCGACGCCGTTGCTCCTGGAGGATCCGCTCCACGTGGAAGTGGACTTCTCAATTCCGGTCAAGCAGGGGCGGAGGTGCCCTCGTACGAGTACGAGTACTTGGCGCCTCCCGAAAGCCACTCTCGTCCGAGTGCTCCGACTGCGGGTCCGACACAGGGCCCTGAGGTTGCCCGCCTCCGTCAACGTGTCCTCGTGCTTGAGATTGCACTTGGCCTTGGGACTCGCGGCGACGCTGCCGCCCAGACCGGGAATCAGGGCGAGCTCGCTCGTCTTGCGGGCCGCCTGGACCTGTTGGAGCGAGAGGTCGCGAGCCTGCACCTGCGGGTGGATCGCCGGGCCTCTTCGTCCGATCTGGACGAGGCCTTTCGCATGATCCGACGGATCGAGGCTTTGTTGCCACCGCCGGAGCCGCCTGCGGCACACTCCCAGACGTACGCGTATGGTGCGTACCCGGCGTACTCGGCGTATGGCGTCGAGGTCCGTTCGTATGGAGCCTCTCCGGCGTACGGCCTTGACCGCAGCCTTGCCGTCCCGACCGAGGCTTGGGTGCCTGCTCCGACGTCCTCGTCGACGACTGTGACCGGCCCTCGCTTCGAGGAGCTGGGTCAAGGGGGGTCTGCGAGTCAGCAACCCTCTGCGGGTAAAAGTACCGCTTAAGACGTCCAACATAGAACGTC